TCTGGTTACTAAGTGATAACCCCAGGAAGCAGGAAAGATGAGTTCCAGGCCAGCCTGGGCTATATAAGGAGACCCTATCTCAAACAGATGAGCAAAGGAGACAATAGCAATGTACCTTCTAAGTAATCCCCTGAGAAGGCTCTCAGTGACCTAAGAACCTCTCTCTCTCTCTCTCTCTCTCTCTCTCTCTCTCTCTCTCTCTGAGACAGGGGTCTCTGGTAGTTCAGGTTGGCCTTGAACTTTCTATGTAGCTAAAGATGACATTGAACTCTGTTAATTTCATAGGTGCTTGGACTACAGGCATGTGCTACTATATCTGGTTTATGCAATGATCCTGATCAAAAAACCTAGATCCAGATCCAGTAGAATTCTTGGCTGTCCTGGAACTCACTCTGTAGACCAGGCTGGCCTCGAACTCAGAAACCCACCTGCCTCTGCCTCCCAAGTGCTGGGATTAAAGGTGTGCGCCACTACTGCTGGCATTGTCCTATAGCTTTAGCCATATACTCTGCAATTATATTTATGTGTATGAATGTTTTCCCTGCATGTATTGTTGTGGTAAAGTTTATTTGGGAGTTTCTTTCCCATCTTAGGTCATTTAGTACCTAAATAAAAGATACAAAAACTTCATATTTATAATAAGCATTAAAGCACGAGAGCTGGGCAGATGTCAACACTCTTTGCTAGTTTGTCTGTTTCCTTGTCAATAACCCTGAGCCATGTTCTGCCTGGGCTACTCCTACTCCAATAGGCCATGAGCTCATAACCTACCTCCCCCACGAAGCTATCTTCCTCCTCCTTCCTCTCTCTCCTCATGGTCTCTGCCCCAGACTCCAGGCCCAGGAACTGAAGTCCCACTTACCTGTAATCCAAGAACTTATGAAATAAGAGTCAGGAGGAACCGAAGTTCGATGTCATCTTAAGCTCCATATGTAGTTTGAAATCAACCTGAACTACCAAAGACTGTGATTCTCTGAGAGAGAGGAAGAGGGAGAGGGGTAGGGGTAGGGGTAGGGGTAGGGGTAGGGGTAGGGGTAGGGGGGGAGGGAGAGGGAGAGGGAGAGGGAGAGGGGGGGGGAGGGGGGGGGGGAGGGGGAGGGAGAGGGAGAGGGAGAGGAGAGGGAGAGGGAGAGGGGAAGAGAGGAGGGAAGGATCCTTAGACCACTGAGAGTACATCTTTCTGAGGGTTTTCACATTTTCCAGAAACCCATGAATTTGTTCTCCTGAGAGAACTGTTACAAAGACATCATAGCTTTCTCCTCACTTTGGAAGTTCTAGCTGGCTGGATGATAGAACTAACCCACACACGATCTTGCTAAGCTGATGGTCTTCTATGAGTGGTCTCAACAGAGTGAACTGATGCCAGCACCATACTCTTTGCTTTGGGCATTTCATTATCATAATAGACGCTTGGATGTTCTCTGACATCAGCGATGAGCATCCTGCCTTATCTATCCATCTATTCAACAAACTTAGCATAGCTTCTTGATATTTGCATACATACTTGTATACACAATTTACATACAAAGCTGTGGGTTGGTTACTGGTTAGGCTGAGAGAGCCGGGAGACTTCCTGCCCTTGCAAAAGTTCATAGTCTTGTGCCTTCAAGCCAGACAACCTGAGTTCAATCCCAGGGACCCACATGGTGGGAAAAGAGAACTGAGTTTTGCACATTGTCTTCTGACCTCTGTACATGCAGCCCCTCTTCCCCCCTCACACACATACTAAACGTGTGGGGTTTTTTTTTTAATATTTATTTATTTATTTTATTGATGAGTACACTGTAGCTGTCTTCAGACACACCAGAAGAGGGCATCCAATCTCATTACGGATGGTTGTGAGCCACCATGTGGTTGCTGGGATTTGAACTCAGGACCTCTGGAAGAGCAGTCTGTGTTCTTAACCGCTGAGCCATCTCTCCAGCCCCAAGGGGTTTTTTTTTTCTGTTTTTTGTTTTTTGTTTTTAGAGATTTGTAGCCCTAACAGGAGGGCGGAGAGAGGAATCCTTCGGAATGTAGGAGCCTGGAGGTAAAAAGGGAACCCTCGGGTCTTCCTTGCCTTCCTAGGAGCATTGAGAATGCTTCTTGAAGCTACTCTGAGCTGAGTCAAGGAAAAGTAGATCACTCGTGAGAGGGGGAAGGGAGAGCAAGCCATCAGAGGAAACAGTTTGTGCAAGACCGGAGGTGTGGCACTTTCAGGAACCCCTGGCCATTTCAGTCCCAGGCCTTAGGGTTCCAAAGGGAAGGGTGGGGGTTAGTACACCGTCCAGATGAGCAGGGGCCAAACTTGAAGGAAGATGTTAGGAACAGATTTGCATTTCAGAGACTGTCCCAGCTAAACAGTGGGCAAAAGGATAGTAGAAAAACCAGTCAGGTCACTGCAGAGCCCCAGGGAAGAGCCAGAAAAGGGTTTGGCCTTGGCCCTGGAGATGGAGGCTGGGAACCAGAGGTTCGAAGGGAACAGCTTCAGCAGGACATGGAGTGTGGACGGAGAGGACACAAAGACATGGTACCTCTGCTCTTTTTAATCACCTAGCCCAGGACATGTCATCTTCTTACTTAAGAACTCTTGTGGGACATTTTGTATCACTTTAGAGTTTTAGCTCTTACTTTGGTTGCTTGTACAGAAAGACATTTTTTTTTCCTGTTTGGCTTTTGTTTTATCTTATTTTGGTTGTTTTGTTGTTGTTATTGTTGTTGGTTTGTTTCCAGGTTCCTCTCCCACCCCACCCCTAAAACAATGTCTCCTGTAGCCCAGGAGACCTCAAACTGGCTGTCTCTAAGGTTTCTATTGTTGCAATAAAATACCATGGTCAAAACCAACTTGACTACTAAGTGTTTGTTTCAGTTTACAGGGTCCAAACACTGCCATGAAGGGAAGTCACAGCAGGAACTGAAGAAGAAGGCATGGAGGTGTGCTATTTTCTTAAACATCTCAAGACCACCTGCCCAGGGGTGGGTGGCACCAAGACCTGGGCCCTCCCACATCAAACACAATTTAAGAAGAATGTTCCACAGGCTTGCCCAGGCCAATCTTATGGAAGTACTTGTCTCAACATTCTTTGTTCTCAGTTATGTCTAGAAAAGCTTTTGGGAGTTGGTTCTCTCCTTATACTACTGAGACACAGGGATCAAACTCAGCTTATCAGGTTTAGCAGCAAGCATCTTTTTTTTTTTTTTTTTAAATGTGGGGTGAGGCATGGACATACATTTGCTAAGGAATACATATGGAGTCCAGAAGACAACCTGAGGGAGTTGGTTCTCTCCGTCTACCTGTGAGGCCTGGGTATCAAACTTAAGTGGTCAGACTTGGTATCAAGCATCTGTACCTGCTGGGCCATCTTTTTTTTTTTTTTTTTCGAGACAGGGTTTCTCTGTATAGCCCTGGCTGTCCTGGAGCTCACTCTGTAGACCAGGCTGGCCTGGAACTCAGAAATCCGCCTGCCTCTGCCTCCCAAGTGCTGGGACTAAAGGTGTGCGCCACCACCGCCTGGCCTGCTGGGCCATCTTACTGGTCATTATTAATAGAGTGTTTTAAAGAGATTAGGTTTAGAGAGAAACTGAGCAGCAACAATAATCCAGGATCTTACATACATCTCCACCTCTGGCCCTGACTACAAATCATTTTTTTTTCATTAGTGTGAAATATTTGTCAGTAGGTCAAGGTCAGTATATTATTAAGCCGTGGATCAAAAGCAAAAGAAACAAATGTAGACTTTACCAGCAGCTGAAAGAATCCTCATTGAACAAAATACAAAAACAACAAAACCAAAAAAAAAAAAAAACAAAAAAAAACAGAAACAAAACTAAATGCCGGGCTGTGGTGCATGCCTTTAATCCCAACACTTGGGAGGCAGAGGCAGGCGGATTTCTGAGTTCGAGGCCAGCCTGGTCTACAGAGTGAGTTCCAGGACAGCCAGAGCTACACAGAGAAACCCTGTCTCAAAAAAAAAAAAAAAAACAAACTAAAACAAACAAACAAACAAAAAGAATCCTCATTTGAGGGAAGAGAACAGGTGATAGCCTTAGGGTGATTGTCAGTGGAACCCACCTTCACAGCCTACTTTGTTTTTGTTGGATCTTTCTTTTCTCCCTCCCTCCCTCCATCCCTCCCTCCTTTTTCTCTTTCTTTCTTTCTTTCTTTCTTCCTTTCTTTCATTTGTTTGTGTCCTTTGATCCTGGTCAATGTACATCTTTTTTTTTTTCAGTTTTTATTCTTTACATACTTTATATCCTGAACACAATCTCCCCTGCCTCCACTTCTCTTAACTCCTCTAGTTCCACTCCTCCTCCTCCTCTTGCCCCCTTCCCCCCAAAAAGAGTAAGCTTCCCAGGGACATCACCCGAATACATCATAACAAATTACAGTAAGACTAGGCACAAACCGTCAAATCAAGGCTGGGCAAGGTGACCTACTAGGAGAAAAAGGGTTCCATGTACAAGCAAAAGAGTCAGAGATAGTTCCAGCTAGCACTGTTAGGGGGTCCCACGAGAACATCGAGCTAGGCCACCATAACATATATGCAGAGGACCTAGCTCAGACCCATACAGGGTCTGTGACTGTACCTTCAGCCTCCGTGAGCCCCTATGAGCCCTGCTTAGTTGATTTTGTGGGTTGTTTCTCATGCTCTGTCTCCCTGAATCCTTCCTCTCCCTCTTCTTTGGGGTTCCCACAGCTTCTCTTAAACTAAGTCCTCAAATTCACCCTATAGCCAAGGACAACCATAAATTTGAATTCTGCATCTATGTCCTAAAATACTAAGAACACAGGAATCCACTCCCCATAATTGGTTGTGCAGTGCTTGAACTCAAGCATGCTAGGCAAGTAGTCTACCCACTGAGCTACCTCTCCAGCCCTACACATTCTGTTCCTATGTCTACCCATACTTCAGGAATTCAGTGTCAACAGAAGCCCAAGGATGAACTGGCCCCATAGAAAATGCATTCTTCCATCCCCTAAGTCAAAGAAGACCAAAGGCACACTGGTATGAAGGCAAAGATCATTTGCACATTTTATTTAAAAGTAAACAGCTGTAAGATAGAAGGACAGATGGTTTCTTTATTGTGAAGACAGTAGTTACAAAAGAGAAGTAATAAATATGACATTAAGAATTTTTGGTTTTGATTTTGTTAAAAAATACAACCCCTGGTATTTGTAAGACGTCCCAAGAAACTCACAAGATACAAAAAATCTGTCCCATGGGCGAGGATACATTTCTTTCAGTTCTTTGGAGCTGATGTCAGACATGGGAAGATGGTCATGACTTCAAAAGACCTTGGATGTCACTTGAGAATTTCACAGGACCACTCTGATTTGCATAGGGTCAGATGACAGCTATCCTTCTACTCACTAATATTACTTCTGACAATTCTTTCATTCTTAACAGTAAAGGACTTAGGAGTGGGAAAATGGCTAGATTGGGAAATGAAGAACGAGGGGGAACAAGAGGGCAGACATTGTTAAGAATCAGGAGAGGGACAAAGGCAGCGTCAAGCTAGCCCCTGGTTGGTGAGGGGATATAGGTATTGATCCACAAGTCCTCTTTCAAATCCCGTCATCACACTAGGGTGGAAGATGGTGAAAAGGAAGTCAGTGGAATCTGATTAATGACAAGAAGACAGACGCTAGCCAGGAAACAATGCAAGGACCACAAGGAAAAACTACCCGGACGACGGGCAATGTGTCTTCTGAGAACCATATATGAACAGGACTTGTTGACACAGGACTACATGGGGGCAAATAAGGTTTCCAAGAAGAAATGAATCTCAGCTATGGACAACGGCAGAGGCGTGAAGGCTGGGAGAGCCAGCTGGCAAATCGTTTGGAAGGGGCCAGGGCCCTGGGAAGGATGTAAGCAGTCACTGGTTATCCAGAAGCACTAAGAAACAGGCCTGGGCCTTGAGGGGGAGGTCATTTGCGCAGAGGGCTGCAGGGATAAAAATGTGAAAATCCTGGTCGTCACCTCCAGGGTGTCAGTAAGGCACAGCTGCGGTCAAGGGTCAGGTCAGCAGGACTACGCGCTGAAAGCTGCCTTGAGCTCCCGGAAGGCTGCCTGGCGGAGCCTCCTGGCCTCCTCCTCCCGTTTCCGCTCATCTTGCTCAGCTTTTAACTCAGCTTCAAACTTACTGGAGCATGACAAGGCCTGGGCCTGCAGAGAAATGGCAAACAGATGACATGGTGAGGGCAGATAAGGATATGGGGATGCTGGCACCCAAAACCCCTTGCAATGGCTATGTAAACCTTGGACAAAGGGTGCTGGCACTGCTGAAGACAGGGGCTCTAGTGACACCTCTTCCTTTGGTCCATAATCTGCTGTTGAGCACTGATACCGTTGCTTTACCTGTTGCTGGCTTCTACCTGCTTCTATTTGGGGGGGTTGTTCTCTCTAGATTCTTTTTTCAGGGTGCTAGTGTGCGTTCACTAGTTCCTGGTGGTAGGCAAGCTCTACCGAGAAGCTACTTCCCCAAACTTTCACAATGGTATCACTACACACTGGTGGACCAGTCCTTGAACCAGACAGAGCGGTACTCTCAGACCTCATCAGAGAAGGTTCTTTTGTGTATCAGAGAGGGCAGCTGACACAGAAACTCATGGCTGGTCAAGATGCAGAGGATACTATGGAGTACTCAGACACACACGGGACATCTACATCACACACCCTCCCCAAGACTCAGGGACAATCATGGAAGCTACAAGAGCTAGAGGTCAGAGTGGCACCAGCTATATTCATGAACGCATAACAGCAGGTGCGGTTGCTTGCCCAAGACCTGCATGCTTTCAAGCCAGTCAGCATTCTAGCATGGGATAGGTAGGAAACGGCTCTGAACCTCGACCCTGGGGGACCTATGGGAAGTTGAAGGCTTCTGGAGATAGTTTTAAGTGTGACTCCTGGTAGGCCAACCATGTTGCAGTCCCACATCTAGAAATATATGGGTAACACAAAGCAGAGTTAATAGGTTATTTTTTTAAAGGGATACAAGTTGTGGGGTAGAGGGGAAGAGTTTGATTTGGGAAGAGTTGGGGGGGGGCAAATAGGATCAAAATTCATTGTGTAAAATTCTTAAAGAATTAATAAACAATATTTTTTAAAAAAAACATTGCTATATTCTAAGTAGAAGAACAAAAGTAAACACCCTGGGACTCTTTGGCTGGGATTGTATCTAACATGGGGTGCTAAGGGAAATCTTTCTTTCTTTTTTTTTTTTGAGACAGGGTTTCTCTGTGCAGCCCTGGCTGTCCTGGAACTCACTCTGTAGACCAGGCTGGCTTCGAACTCAGAAATCCACCTGCCACTGCCTCCCAAGTGCTGGGATTAAAGGCGTGCGCCACCACTGCCCGGCATGAACCAACTCCAATGCATCAGTTTTTGTTTTCCCCAATGTTGATGTTGTATTTCCATCAACATTTTGGTTCTTGGCTAAAATACAATTCCGTACCTGGGGACTTACCTGGAATGCATGAGGTCCTGGGTTCAACCCTCAGTAACCACAAAAATAAAATGGAAACTTCTCTCTCAGTGAGTCATTCTAAATTTACTACTAAATATTACATACTGGCCTGTTTTGGCACCATATATTATAAAAACACTACATGTTAGCTAAAGTATAGTAGCTCCCACTTGCAATCCCTAAGACTCAGATGGCAGAGTGTTGAGTTCAAGGCCAATCTGGATAGAGTTCTAGGCTACCCAGAGCCAGCATGTGAGATCCAGTCTCTAAAACCAATTAAATAAAAACAAATATTACATGTTTATGTTCACATTGTGAGTGGGATCTCATAATATCTCTTTTTTTTTAACTTAATGATTTACCTTCAATAATACCATATCAGGGGCTGGAAGATATAGGTCAGTTGGCAGAGTGTTTTCCTAGCGTATATGAAACCACATGTCTTAGTCCCCAGTACTGCATCAAGCTGGAGGTGGTAGCAGCTGTAATTATACCTCTAATCCCAGAACTCAGAAGGTAGATACAGAGAATCAGAAGTATGTTGTGAATTGCCCTGGTGTTGTTTGTATTTGATGTTAATTCTGCTCCCTCAAGAGGGGCTGCCCCAACTTGGAGTGGATCACATACTCAGGTGATTTCATGTGAACCTTCTCATTTTAAGTACTCAAATACAGGCTGTGATTGGGCAGTGGAAGGGAAAGATGGGGCTGGAGGTTTTAGAGAGGAAGAGAGAGGAAGGAGACAGAGGAATAGGAGGTGGAAAGAAGATGGAACAAAACCGTGTGGGCTGGAGAGGCCACAAGTAACAAGAGCTCTCACATAGCTGGAGAATAGAGTAGTGTAATGGTAGGTCTGCCCGATCTAGGAGTGCAGCTGACAAATATGACAACCGACTCATGTGTTCTTTGCACGGGCTTATTGGAGTTGGAGATTGACTGCGACAGAAGTGTGTGACCACCCTTGGCTGCATAGTCAGTTTGAAGAGAGCCTGGGACACACAAGACATGTCTCAATAATAATAATAATAATAATAATAATAATAATAATAATAATAATACTTTATCAGATAAAACTATTTCAAAATCCTCCTTCCTAGAACTGACTTTTTTGTTCATGGTTTTCATATCTGGTATTATCTCTCGATGGCACACTGAATGGGAAGGTGATTTTAATGACGACTATATGATACAGCTCTGGATGGCAGCTGTTCTGATTTACACCCCCACCGTCCTGGACCAGAAACACTCATACACACCTTTGGCCAAAGCTTACCACGATTAGCCTCACTGTCTTGCCAATCTGTAGACAAAACCATATTGTCGCCTTTACCCACTTGGACCTTTGTCACTTTCACGTCCAGCTGCTTTTCTCTTCCAATCTGCAGCTCTCTATGTAAAATCAATCCCCTGCTGCTAATCTGCCTCTTGTCTCTTCCTAACTGTGCACCTCCAAAACACTTGAAACCTTGATGTAATTTAATTTATAGACCGTCAGCTCTTGCCTTTTATATGACACCGAAGAAAGCCTCCAGTGCTCTAAATCCATTTTTCTGTATTTCCTTCTAATACTTTTATTGGATCTTCTGTATTTTCCTCATGCAGTCCAAGCTAGCCTCAGACTCACTCTATATCCCGAATTGGCCTGTAACTTTTGACCCTCTTGCCTCTACCTCACAAACACTGGTTTGACAGGTATGCGATATACCTGACTTTATTTGGCTTTTACACACACATACACATGTACACAGGCACACAGACATATACCCCTTTTAGAATTTTTAATCTCATTTTATGTGTATGAGTGATTTGCCTGCATGTATGTTATGTGTACCACATGTGTATCTGCCTGGTCTCTGTGGAAGTCAGAAGAGGTCACTGGATCCCCCAGAACTGGAGGTACAGATGTTTGTGAGCCACCTTGTGAGTGCTGGGACATGAACCCAGGTCCTCTGCAAAAGCAGCCAGTTCTCTTAACCACCAAGCCTTCTCTTTAATCCCTCATCTATTTTAATAAAGGGTATAAAGGAAATATTTTAAATTCTTCTACTTAAAATAGCTAGCCAACTGTTTTTTACATTTACCTGTAATGTTTGTATCTACTTACCTATCACCTGTCTGTCTGTCCGTCTATCTATCTATCCATCTATCTATCTATCTATCTATCTATCTATCTATCCATCCATCCATCCATCCATCCATCCATCCATCCATCCTGGCAGTCTATTTTGGAACTGAACCTTTTAGAAAAGACTTCCCACCGACTGGGCATCTCCCCTTGTCTGTCTGTCTGTCTGTCTGTCTGTCTCAGACCTCTCTTCAACTTTTTGAGACAAGGTTGGGCTGGCAACCTGTGATCCTGCTGCCTCAGCTTCCCAGGTGGCTAAGCTTAAAAGCCTGTTCCACTGGGCCCAGCTGTCCTCAGAATCTTCTGTTGACAGTTCTCTATTGTTCCTATATTTCCTGTCACTCAGCTCCTTCATGGAAGACATCCATTCCTCTCTTGTTTGACTTGCTATTTCCATGGCTGCTGTGCTTGGCCTCAAACCCCCACACAGAATTTAATATCACTTGATGCTCTGTTTAAGCACTGTTTTGGGGGTACGAGGTAAAATCCAGTGGCCACTTGTGTGCTTAGTATCCAAGAGGCCATGAATTCAAACCTGAGAATCAGAAAATGAGTATAAATTTCTTTTTAATTAAATAAATAATTTTTTTTTTAATAAAAATTTGTCCGAGCCAGGTGGTGGTGGCACACGCCTGTAATCCCAGCACTTCTGAGTTTGAGGCCAACCTGCTCTACAGAGTGAGTTCCAGGACAGCCAGGGCTGCACAGAGAAACCCTGTCTCCAAAAAAAAAAAAACCAAAAAAAAAAAAAAATTTGTCCGGAAACAAAGTCAGGAAGATTACAGACTTGAGGCCAACCTGGGCTGCATATGAGACTCTATTTCAAGTTTTAAAAATTCATTAATTAAATTTCTTTTAAATTTCTAATTAAATTTATTTTAAAATGGTGAGTATGCATATATCTGGGTGCCTGTGGAGCTGGAACAACAGGTGGTTGTGAGTCATGTGATGTGGATGCTGGGAACTGAACTCAGGACCTCCAAAAGAGCAACACCTGCTCTTAACTGAGACACCTCTTTAGCCCCCAATTTTCTCACTATTCAATTTGTTATTGTGAGTTACACTTACACCTAGAGCGAATCTCCTTGAATATTATAGTTATAATCTATCTCTTGTCACCCTAAGATCTCTGAAGAACTGCATTATAGGTATGTACCATCCCCCCTGGTCCTGATTTAAGATTCTCATGGCTACATCTCTCTTTTTAAAATTTATTTAAACATTTTTCTCATTCAGTGTGTTTTGACCTCCCTCTTCCCCCTCCCAGGTACAATACTTGATATAAACATTTTCTTTTTCCTTAGCTGGCTGCAGTGGTGAATAGCTTTTATTCATTCCAGCACTCAGGAGGCAGAGGCAGGCAGACCTCTGTAAGTCTGCGGGCAGCCTGCACCACACAGAGAGTTCCAGGCCAGCCAGGGCTACATAAGACTGTCTCAAAATAAAAAGAAGAAAGATTTTTCATGGCCTGTCATTCTTATCTGATTTTGTTCTGAAAATCAGTGGCTTCGGAAAATGACCATGACATGACCCATTTTGTACCTGATCACCTTCTTTTGTTTTTGTATTATGTTAT